CCACTCACCTCAGCCTCCCAAAGGCGCGGGACTACAGGCTGAGCCACCGAGCCCGGCTCAGCTTATTTTTTTATTATTGTAGAGACAAGGTGAGATCTCACCAAGTTGCCCAGGCTGGTCTGGACCCCTGAGTTCAGGCAATCCTCTCACCTTGGCCTCCCAAAGTGCTGGGATTACAGACTTGAGCCACCACACCCTGCCACATATCTCAATTTTCTTATGCAGCTTTCTCTCATATTTACAAGCATTAACATTTTAGATTCATACATTATTATAGCAGAAAAACTAGCTTACTTCCCAGTTCTATGATGATCATCTTTGAACTTTTTGGTTGTTTTTCTTCCTCAAAAACCACTTCTTATGTGGTATAATTCTTTTTAACGTAAGGCTTTACATTTTGGGTAAAGAATAGAGAATGGCACAGAAACTCCAAAAATAAGATTAATGAAAAAGAGAATGATTCAGTATTTGAGCACATTTGGCTGAGAAGCTAAACATGCCTTTAGAGGAACTCCAAAGAAAATTAGCAACCCAAGTAAAGGTTTTGAGTATTTGCAGCACACCATCCCTTGACTTAAAAAACATTTAATGTGCACCTACCATGTGAGAGATACTAAGTCAAGAACAAGGAACACTAAGATGAAAGACATTTTCCCTCCTCTCAAGAAAAATAGACTAGTAGAAAAAATGGACTTGTAAATGAAGTAAAAACAGTATGATAAGAACCCTAAAAAAAATAAAAATAAAAATCATACAATGCCCACCCTGAATTTTAAGATAAGGAATAAGCAAGCATACAGCTGAAAGGCTAAATTATGCAAATCTCCAGGCCAGGTGGGATGACTCACACCTATAATCTCAACACTTTGGGAGGTTAAGGCAAGAGAATCACATGAGCCCAGGAGTTCAAGACCAGTCTAGGCAGCATAGTGAGACCTTGCCTACACACAAAAATTTCAAAAATTGTTCAGGCATGGTAGTGCAGGCCTGTAATCCCAGCTACTCAGGAGGCTAAGGAGGGTGGAGTGGATCCATTCAGCCCAGGAGTGTGAGGTTGTGGTGAGCCACGATCGTGCCAGTGTTCTCCAGCCTGGGTGACAGAGTGAGAGCCCATCTCCAAGTAAATAAATAAATATTAAATTAATTTATTAATAATTTTTTAAAAATCTCCAAACTGAACTAACATTTAGTTGTTTAGTTTCTAAAAGGTTACTTCTGCTGCTTAACTTCCCTCTTTGACTCAATTGTTTTTATGAACTTGTTCCCAGAGTTTTAGCTGACTGAATGATAGGACAGTGAGCCTGGCAAAGGAGGTGACAGAATATATATGGAGAAACACTACAGAGTATTTTAAATGACAAAGTTATTTTGAGATAGGATAAATAAGCATACTTTCTTTTTAAGCAGAACTACATATACCTGAACAATAATACTAAACAGGATATACCTGAATAAACATCAGTGCAACAAGTAGAGAATCGTATGGCCACTGCAGGGCAACAGGGATGACTATCAAGCCCATTCTAAAGGTTGACAAAGGGACACTGCCCAACACTTCTTGGTATCCTGTTATACTGTTTAATCATTTTCACAGTCAAAAGAGTCTCCCTAATATAAAACTAAAGTCTTTAGTGCAATTTAAGTCAATTTTCTTCTTGTTTGCTCCTCTTAAGAGATAGAGACCATGAATACTAGGACTTTTAGCCGTCATTACTCTTAAGATACAGAAACCCCTTTATGTTAAGAAATGTTAACATTTTTATCCTTCCATCATCACAATCATGTTTTTCATCTTGTTAATGATTTTCAGATGTTTCACATTCATTTTTTTAAATGTAAAAATAAAAAATAGACATAGTAAACCAAATAATCATTTTCAACATCCCAAAGTGTTTTAAAAATATATCAACTTTCAATATCCAAAAGTTTTTGAAAAACAAAATAACTTTATATTGCTTATATCTCTAGAGTTGACAACTATGATTTCTTAATCTTTTTTCTTTTATCATGTTTATACTTAAGATGACTCCTTCATTTTGTAGCTCTATTTTGCCCTAACTTTTTTTTTTCTTGATGCAGATCCTCACTCTGTCAGTCACGCTGGAGAGCACTGGTGCGATACATCTTATTGCAGCTTCAAAATGGTCCTCTACCTTAGCCTTCCAAGTAGCTATGACTACAGAAGCATGCCACCATGCCAGCTAACTTTTTATTTTGTAGAGACAGGGATCTTACTATGCTGCCCAGGTTGGTCTCAAACTCTTAGCCTCAAGCAATCCTCCCACCTCCACCTCCAGAGTCACTGGGATTATAGGTGCAAGCAACTGGACCTAACCTCCATTGATGTTTTTAATCCCACCTTTGGACAGACCATTCACTTTGAAATCTATTTCTATTATCAAAGTGTGAACTTGTAAACTGCAAACTCCAAAGTATTAATACTTACAATTTCTTTTTTAATAATAATAACAAGTAACTGAGCCATCAGTCAATACCACTTTGCAAAGGGCTAAGTATTAACAAATGCCTCTCTTGGTACAATCCTGTATCTGCTAGTAAATATGAAGAACCATAACAACTACACCGTCTTAGCACTAATGACTGGCAAACGTCAAGATCCTCCAAAAAAGGAAGGAAGGGAGAGAAGGAGGAAAGAGGAAAGAGAGGGAAGGAAAGAAGAAGAGAGGGGAGGTAGGGAAGGAAAGAGGAGAGACAGAATAAAAGAGGTAGGGAAGGAAGAAGGAAGAGAATGAAAAAAAAAAAAAGAAGAGCCGGGCTCAGTGGCTCAGCCTGTAATCCCGTGCTTTGGGAGGCTCAGGTGAGTGGATTGCCTGAGCCTGCGGGTTCGAGACCTGCCTGCGCAACTTGGAGAAACCTCATCTCTACAGTAAATCAAAAAATTAGCCGGGCGTGGTAGCGCACGCCTGTAGTTCAAGCTACTCGCAAGGCTGAGGCGGAAGGATCGCCGGAGCCCAGCGGGTCGAGGCTGCGGTGGCCGGGTCAAGGCTGCGGTGGCCCGGAGCGGCCACTGCACTCCAGTCTGGGCTACAGAGTGAAACTCCAACTCAAAAAAAAGAAAAAAAAAGAAGAAACAAGAGAAGGAGAGGGAGGCAGACAGGCTGCAGGAATGGAGGAAGGAGACCAGCTACAGCTTTAGTTAAAGCTACGCAAGCATGTACGCCAGCATGCACATAAGGCAGAGAGACAAACACAGCTGTCAATACACCTCTGAAGCCAGAGGAACTTGCTTTCTTAGAAGGCAGTGCTATTTAATTTCTCAATGAATAACCACAGATCAGCAAAATTAAAAACATCTACTTTCCTAAGTGAAATATAAACAAAGTGAACACCAGAAACATTAAGTAACACCAAAAGGGGATTTCATTTAAAAACTCCTTTTTCCTCAAAGAAAACTTCCCAAAATAACAAGTAACAGAAATTCACACTCTTTGATAAAACTGGGATACACCTGTGTCTATGAACCATATTAGTTTTTAAAAAGGGCTATCTAGACTAGCCTTTAAAAAAGGGTCGGGGAACGATTTAATTCATATACATTCCAAGAGGGTGAAGGGAGAAGCGAAGAGGCACCTCCAAAGACAAAGCCCAGACAAAGCCCGATGTCTCCAAAGCAAACAGCTCCTGGGGAAAGTAAAAAAAACCAAAAAACAAAACCAGAATACACCTCTGCAGGAAGAGATCTATAAGGAGGCAGGGGCTGTGAGGCACTGGATTTTGAATAGCTCTGCACTACACTCAGTTCTGTGGGTTAGAAAGAAGTGAGGGTTCAGACACAGCTTTGTGCCTTTTCTTTTTTTTTTTGGAGTCAGAGTCTCACTCTGTCGCCCAGACTGGAGTGCAGTGGCCGCTCCCGGTCACCGCAGCCTCGACCTGCTGGGCTCCAGTGATCCTTCCGCCTCAGCCTTCCAAGTAGCTGGAACAACAGGTGCGCGCTACCATGCCCGGCTAATTTTTTTGATTTATTGTAGAGATGAGGTCTCACCAAGTTGCCCAGGCGGGTCTCGAACCCGCGGGCTCAGGCAATCCACTCACCTCAGCCTCCCAAGGCATGGGATTACAGGCTGAGCCACTGAGCCTGGCTCTTTGTGCCTTTTCTAATGATGTCTTCCATTTTCTCTCGCTTGAGAATTGCCAGCTTATGTTTTACCTCCTTATATGGTCTCACCATTCCTTTCCTGAGCTCTTATGCCCCTTGGTACGAGCTCTTTTACCATTTGAATAAATTCCTTGAGTCCATGGCAATATATGGGGCAATATATTTGTGATTAATTTTGCTATATAAAGTAAAAGATACAGTGCAAGAAAAGTCTTACATTTAGGTGGCACTAAAAAAATAGTAGCTGCCATTGTTATTATTAAGTAATAGTAACAACAAAAGCCAATTTCAAAATGTACTAATCCAACTCACATTTTTCTGGGGTGTTACTAGGTGGCAGGCTCTGTCCTTGTACCAAAAGGGATTTAAAATTAAGAAGGACAAATCTAACCGGTCAAATGAGATATGTATAAATACTAACAGTATAAGAAGTACAATGTAACAAAGAAATATAATCATCATAAAGGTGAAAAAGTTATATAGAAAGATTATATCTAGTCTAAAGAAATCTAAAGGCTTCATGGAGAATAGGCCTTGAAGATATGTAAGATTTTCTGAAATATTAACAGAAGATAAAAGGAGGGAAATCAAAAACAAGGAAAATATCCAAGAGAAGAACAGAATGAGCAAATTTTCAGATAATTTAAGTAATGGAGGGAACACCAAGGTATGACCAGCAATCTAGTCTGAATAGACTAAAGAAGATAAATGAGCAGACAGAGGAAAGGCAGAATGGAGGACAATGTGGGAGAGTCTTAAGCTCAAGCTAAGGAATCTAATCTTGACAGATTAGTCATTGGAAAAGCCACTGAAAGAGATGCTAAGAAGAGAAATTATATGATCAGAAGTCTTCTTCTTATCTAAGAACCACAGAATAACGTAAAAATGAGAGCTAATCGTTAACCATGTCTTACTTTGGACCAGCTGACATCACTGGACAACTCTCTTCTGTACAGAAGTCTGTGATAGTTCCATAAAGCATGTTGATCTGATTGAAGAAATCCACAGCTGCAAAGTAAACATCAGTTGTAAGTAAAACAGAATAGTTAAAATTACATTTTAATTTTACCTAAGCAGAACAGGTTTATCAGTGTTATTCTCCCTACAAAGAACAGGTAAAAAGCATACATAGATGCCTAAATATTTAACTACATGGAAATCAGGAACCTGTATCCATCAAGTGACTTCAATGAGAGCAAAAAGACAAGCACAAAATGGGAAAAATTATCTGCAATACATAGAAACAACAAAAATATTCTATCCAGAATATATAAAAAAACTCCTATAGATCAGTAAGAAAAAAAGCAACACAGCAGAAAAACATGAGACATTTTTTAACTGTAACTTCACAAAAGAAGTTTCCAGATGGCCAAAAATCCTATGAAAAGATGCTTGCAATCATGGAACTGCAAATTTAAATGATAGCGGAATGCCACATTGCAAGCCCCCAAAAGCCTAAAATTTATTTGAAAATGCAAAGAGCCAAGAATACCCAACACATTCAAGAATAAGATGGCTGAGAATGGTGGCTCATGCCTGTAATTCCAACACTTTGGGAGGCCAAGGCAAGAGGACTGCTGGAGTCCAGGTGTTCAAGACCACACTGGATAACACAGCAAGACCCTGCCTCTATAAACTAATAATTTAATTAAATAATTTTTTTAAAAAAGAAGGTACACACCAAGATGTAAAAAGCACAATGAATAAAACACTATGATCTTAGTAAACCAATGGAAAAGAAGGGAGAGAGGAAAAACAGATGCATGCATAGATGAAACACCTAATTTATAACCAAAGCTATCACTGCAGACAACAGGCAAAGAACAGTCTTTTCCATAAATATTTCTGAGTCAACTGGTTATCACTATGGAAAAACAAAAATTTGACTCCTCACTTATACCATACCCCAAAAGGAATTCCAAGTGGATTGTATGTCTAAATACGAAAAGCAAGACAAAAGTTTAAAAGAGCACAGAGAATACATTCATGACCTTTGGCCTGGACACATTTCTTCAGAGGACACAAAAAGCACTAATCATTAAAAAAGCTTTCCTTATGTTTCATTAATTTCTAGGCTTTTGATATTTTTGATGTTATTCATAATTTTTTATATTGCCCTCAGAGCCCACACACAACCTTATTAGTAATAGCAACCATGGCCTTTTGGATTTTCAAAATATTTATATTGGTTAAAAGTTAAAAGAATAATTTTCTTCTTTTCCAGCTTTTTTGTTTGTTTGTTTGTAAAGAGTGGAGACTCAGTTGCTTAGGCTGGAGTACAGTAGTGCAATCACAGCTCACTGTAACCTCAAAGTCCTGAGCTCAAGTGGTCCTCTTACTTCAGCCTCCCAAGTAGATGGAACAACAGGCATGTGCCATAACACCTGACTAATTTTTTTTGATATTTTTAGAGACAGGACCTCACTATGGTGCTCAGGATGGTCTTGAACTCCTGGTCTCAAGTGGCTCTCCCATCCAGACCTCCCAAAGTGTTGGGATTGGTATGAGCCACCATGTCCAGTCCAGCCAGTATATTTTTTTATTCTTTTTCTTGCCTTACTGCACTGGCTACAACTCTAGTAAACTAGTGGTGGTAGATATCCTTGACTCATTCCTAAATTGAGAAAAAAAACTTCAACATTTCACTGTTATAATGTTTTGCTGCAGGTTTTTTTGCAAATAGATATGCTTTATCAGAAGAAAGTTCTCATCTATTACTTGATAAGCTTAATAAATTTTACATTTTGTCAAATGCTTTATCTGCATTCATTGTGATGATCATATAATTTTTTTTCCTCCTTGATTTTGGTTAATGCAATGAATTACAATGACTTAATTTTCAAATGTTACCAACCCCTAGCTGGGCGCAGTGGCTCACACCTATGATCCCAGCACTTTGGGAGGCCGAGGTGAGAGGATTGCCTGAGCCCACGGGTTCAAGACCAGCCTAGGCAACTTGGCAAGATGTCCTCTCTAAAATAAATCCAAAAATTAGCCGGGCATGGTGGTGCGTGCCTGTAGTTCCAGCTACTTGGAAGGCAGAGGCAGAAGGATCGCCTGAGTCCAGCAGGTCGACACTAGGGTGGCAGTGAGCGTGCCACTGCACTCCAGCCTGGGCGACAGAGTAAGACTCCAACTTAAAAAAAAATGTTTTGGTTATAATGTATTATACTTTTTAAATACTGCTAGATCCAATTAGCTAATATTTTTGTTAGGATTTTTACATCTAAGTTCATTTCAAAAGCTAGATGACCCAGTTCCTTTTCTTGTTATGTCCATGTAGAACTCATAAAGCTATTATTTTTTTCTGTCCTCCAAAGAGCCAAAAACTGGTGTTATTTCTTCATTCAATGTTTGGCGAAAATCCTATTGTGGAAAGTGTCGTAAGTTTTTAGACTTTTCAAAGAACCAATATTTTTTCTTTGTTGATTCTCTTTATCGCATGTCTGTTGTCTATGTTATTAACTTCTGTTCTTTATTGATATTTTTTTACTTTCTTTGCATTTAGTTTATTTTTCTAACCTCTGCAGATTAATGCTTAGTTTGTTAATTTTCAATACTTTTTCTTTTCTAATATATGTATGTAGAGTTCTAAATTTCCCTTTAACACGGCATTAGCTATATCCCACAAGTTTTCACATATAGTATTTTCATCATAATTTAGTTCCAAATACTTTCCACTGAGATGTACTCTTTCCAAACATATACCAATTCCTAGAGTTTTGTTATTGTTGCTGTTGCTATTAGTTTCTAGCTAAATTCCACTGTGGTCAGCGATTGCACTGATTTCCATTTTTGAAAATGTGTATGTGTGGCCTGGCGTGATGGCTCACGCCTATAATCCCAGCACTTTGGGAGGCCAAGGTGAGAGGACTGTCTGAGCCTATTGGTTCAAGACCAGCCTGAACAACTTGGCAAGACCTCATCTCTACAATAAATCAAAAAATTAGCCAGGAGTGAAAGCATGCCTATAGTTTCAGCTACTTGGAAGGCTGAGGCAGAAGGATCATCTGAGCCTAGCAGGTTGAGGCTGAGGTGGCCATGAGTGTGCCACTGCACTCCAGCCTGGACAACAGAGAGACTCCAACTCAAAAAAAATTTTAAAAAAAGGAAAGAAAGAAAGAAAATGTGTATGTGCATAATCTTAGGTGTATGGGTCATGTGTCCCTAGGTCAATTCCACTAATCATGTTGGTCACACTTTTCTAATTCCTTATTGGTTTTTTTCTTCTACATTTTCTATGAGTTACTGAAAGATGAATGTTAAAAAATCTCCCATTAGGACCATAAATCTACTTCTTTTAGTTCAGTCAACTGATTTCAATACATTTTTAGATGTTCTTAGGAACATATATATTCAGAATTTTATATATTCCTTTGTCAATTGAACCATTTATCATTTAAAAATATTCCTCTTTATTGATGCTTTTTGTCTTAAAGTTACTTTATCTGACATAATATGACTGTATCAACAGTCTTTGGATCAGTGTTTAACTTTAGTTTCAACCATTCTGTATCTGCATATTTAAAGTATGTCTCTTGAAAGCAGTATTCAGCTTGTTTTGTAACCATCCTGACATAATCATCGTCCTTTCTTTTTTTCCTAAAGACAGATTTCCAGGCTGGACTGCAGTGGTATGATCATAGTTCACTGTAACTTTGAACTCCTGGGCTCAAGTGATCCACCTGCCTCAGCCTCCTGAGTAGCCAGAACTATAGGTGCATGCGACCATGCCTAGCTATTTTTTTTTTTTTTATTTTAAAGATGTGGGGTACAATTTTTTTTTTTTTAAAGATGTAGGGTTAGGTATACAAATGTTCATTATGCAGGTAACCTTCCTAGTTAATTTTTTATTTTTATTTTTGTAGAGATGGGTGTCTCGCTATGTTGCCTAGGCTGATCTTGAAGTCCTGAACGCAAGCAATCCTCCTGCCCCAGCCTTAATCGTAGTCTTCTTTTTATTGGACTATTTTGTCCTTTGCAATCTAAATATTAGTAACTGTATTAAATGTAATATACTATCTTATTACTTATAATATACTATGTTATTACTTGCTACGCATTTATCCTACTTATTATATGATTCTTGTTCTCTCCTTATGTTCTTTATGATTATTTTTACTATTCTACTTTTCTCCTCTACTAGCTAGCTATTTATACTTTCATTTACCATAAAGATGCAAACTTGGGCCGGGCTCGGTGGCTCAGCCTGTAATCCCAGCACTTTGGGAGGCCGAGGTGAGTGGATTGCCTGAGTCTGTGGGTTCGAGACCTGCCTGGGCAACTTGACGAGACCTCATCTCTACAATAAATCAAAAATTATTCGGGCGTGGTAGCATGCGCCTGTAGTTCCAGCTACTTGGAAGGCTGAGGCGGAAGGATCGCCAGAGTCCAGCAGGTCGAGGCTGCGGTGGCCAGGAGCAGCCACTGCACTCCAGTCTGGGCGACAGAGTGAGAATCCAACTCAAAAAAAAAAAGATGCAAACTTTATCAGCAATTCCCTTTATTCCTTTATGCACCCTAAATGTTTACTTAAACCACTGCCCTTGAATGGCAATCATCTGTCTAGACTCAAATCCTATTTACCTCATTAAATGTCATTCAGGAAGATTACTATAAATAAGGAAAATCTGACAGTGCTTCAGTTAAATGCTATATTTTCAAAGCAGAAATTACATGTTCTAAGCAGATGTTCTGATACTTCAGTCCAAAGTAACTTTTTCCAACTATAAAAATTATGAAATGCCTGTAAAATTTTAAAAATTCTCAAAGTTGTAGGCACTTCAATAGTTAGCAATCCCCCCCTTAGCTGAGGTTTCACTATCCTCAGTGTCAGTTATCTGTCAGCATCACTACAGGATGAAAATATTAAATGGAAAATTTGAGAAATAAGTAATTCATAAGTTTTAAATTGTGTGTCATTCTGAGTAACATGATGAAATCCCACGCCATCCTGCTCCATCTGCCCGTGAAGCATCCCTCTGTCTAGGGTAGCCACACTGGATATGCTACCTGCCCGTTAATCACTTAGTAGCAGTCTCAGTTACCAGACTGACAGATCACAAGAAGAAATGGGTGCGCAGTATACTATAATACAGTATTTTGAAAGAAAGACCATATTCACATATCTTTTATTACAATATATTGTTATAATTATCCTATTTTATTGTTAGCTAGTGTTGTTAATTTCTTATTGTGCTTAATTTATAAATTAAACTTTATCATCGTCTAGGAAAAAACACAGGATATATAGGTTCAGTAATATCCACGGTTTCAAGGGGTATTGAAATGTATTCCCTACAAAGAGGGTACAGATGCTCGGTTCTGGCAACTGAGATAGAGAAGGAATACAGACAGAAAATAATGATGATTTGCTTTTATACTTAAAAGTCAGGGGCCGGGTGTGGTGTCTCAAGCCTGTAATCCCAGCACTTTGGGAGACCGAGGCCAGAGGATTGCCTGAGTTCAGGGGTTTGAGTTCAGCCTGGGCAACTTGGTGAGACCTCGTCTCTAGAATAAATAAATTAAAAAATAAGCTGGACATAGTAGAACATGCCTATAATTCCAGCTAAGCTACTTGGACGACTGAGGCAGAAGGATTACTTGAGCCCAGCAGGTCAAGGCTGCAGTGGCTGTGAGCGTGCCACTGCACTCCAGCCTGAGTGACAGAGTGAGACTCAACTCAAAAAACAAAAACAAAAAACAAAAAGTCAGAATCTACTGTAATACGAAGTTCTACGTTGCTATTCTTACATTTTAAAAACTAGTAAATGAGCTTTACAATAAATGGTATAAAAAGGCACAAGCAAATACAAAAAGAAGAATGTATACACGTACTAGACATCTCTTCTGAATACTGTCTTTGAGGTGCCATAAGACCATCTTACAGGTAAGAGAGGTCTCATCAACAAAGCAAATCAATCAACTAGATTACCTTGGTCCAAAAGAATAATCAACCACATTACGACAACAGCTCTGGTGCTAATGCTGTCACATGGGTTTCAAAATATCTCAATAAAATCCTTCTGGTTCCTAAAAGTTATTAGTGGTGGCAGCTCAATTTAGAAATCCCATGACATAGTTCAAATTACAATAAGATAACATCAAATATTATAAGAAAAATGCTGTTTTGCTTTTCCTTAATCAAAGTCTAGACATTTCACATATGAGCACGTAAATTTCATTTTATTTTTTACTAGATTCAAATACATTTCCTTCGATTATAAAATTATGTTCATTTTTTATTTTTATTAATGAGGAAAAAGCCTAAACCTCTTATTCCCCAACTTTCTCTGGCTTAATTCCCAAAATATACACTATTTATTTTATACTGATAAGTTATTCTCTCTCGGAGTTAATATCTCATAAACATATTTTACTTATTTCATAACTACTCAATTGCCTTTTTAAAAAAAAAAAAAATAGCACAATTAGATAAATAACTGAGTATCCTTCTGAAAGGAGCAATTTGGCATAATGATTAAACTACAGGCTCTGAAATTCTATAACTGTATATTTAAGCCCAGGCTCTGCCATTTAATAACTGTATATCCTAGGCAAATTACTAATCTTTCTGTCTCAGCTTCCTTATCTATTAAACAGGGATCTTAATATTACCTACATCATAAGGTTATAAAGATGAAATAAAATCTTCCATGTAGAAAGGATAGCAGAATGCCAGATACACAATTAGTCTTTGACAAATATTGTTATTATCATCATTATTGCAATGAAGATAATAAATCTATGCTTTGTAATATTGCAGAAAACAATTTTATAAAACTCCATATTCAGAAATAAAATAACATAAAGGTAAAACTGAACTGATCTCTCACTGTGCTATTAGATTGCAAACTAGATCCTATAACAGACAGCCCCCAAAACTCACCTACAATGAGGCTATCACCCTAATCTATAATCTACTGAGAAACAGAAAGGCTCCTTACTGTTAACTGCAACCCATTCGTTTAGATCTTCCCCCTCAGGAAGCATGACAGCCATCCGGAGGTTACCACTGCCAAGTGTGGCTTCTGCATGTTTTAAGAGCTCGTACTGGTGAGAACCCTCTGGAATGTTCTTCTTTGGTTTAAAAGTTTTAGAAGAGCGACTACCACTGTGAATAGAAAAGAAAAAAAGTACTTCAATAAATGTAAGACATGATCTTCAACAAAATCTACTACACTATATTACTGGATAAAATAACATAGCGGTGATCCTCCAATCACCTCTATATGCATCCACAAATAAACAGCAAGCATACTTTTAGCCCACCTTCAATCACTAGACCTAAACTGTATTTGCTACATTAAATCCTGGCAATATAATTGCTGTAAGTACTTTGTTCTCTACCCAAAACACCCACAAACTTTCTCTACATTCCTTATTTAACGCAAAGAGAGGAAAAAAACTTTTAGTTGTAACTAATTCAGCTCTTCACAGTAAATTAATGATTATAGGTTGGATTATAGGTTGTAACCTCCCCAAAAAAGAAGAATTTTTTTTTTTTTTTTAAAGTTAGTCTCACTCTGTCACCCAGGCTGGAGGGCAGTGGCATGCTCATGGTCACTGCAGCCTCAATCTGCTGGGCTCAGGCGATTCTTCCACCTCAGCCTTCCAAGTAGCTGGAACTACAAGCATGCACCACCATGCCCGGCTAATCTTTTTGTTTATTGTGGAGATGAGGTCTCACCAAGTTGCCCAGGGTGGTCTAGAACCCATGAGCTCAGGCATTCCTCTCACCCCGGCCTCCCAAAGTGCTGAGATTATAGGAGCCACCGCGCCTGGCCAAAAAAAGCAGTTTTTAAGTGATGGCATTTTCTCATTATGTTAGCAAGTTCGTTTTTTTTTTTTTGAGTTGGAGTCTCACTCTGTCGCCCAGGTTGGAGTGCAGTGGCATGCTCACGGCCACCACAGAGCCTCAACCTGCTGGGCTCGGGCGATCTTTCCACTGCTTCGGTCTTCCAAGCAGCCGAAACTACAAGGGCGCGCTACCACGCCCAGCTAACTTTCTGATTTATTGTAGAGACAAGGTCTCACCATGTTGCCCAAGCTGGTCTCAAACCTGCGGGCTCAGGCAATCCTCTCACCTTGGCCTCCCAAAGAGCTGGGATTATGGGCTTGAGCCAGTGCGCCTGGCCTGCTGCTACCAGGTTCTTATCAAACTGTATCTTATATCCTAGTCACCCCTTCTCAATATTCTCTGGATTCTCTTCTTATGAAAACGAACAGATTGGGGCAACCCCCTCGGGTCCCCTCCCACTGTGGTAGCTTTTCTGTCCTCTCAATAAATCCTGCTTTCAAAAAAGAAAGAAAGAGAAAAAGAGAGAGTGAGAAGAAAAGAAGAGAAAGAGAAAGAAAGAAAGAAAGAAAGAAAGAAAGAAAGAAAGAAAGAAAGAAAGAAAGAAAGAAAGAAAGAAAGGAAGGAAAGAAAGAAAGAAAGAGAAAGAAAGAAAGAAAAAATAAATGAACAGACAGGAAGGAAAGAAGAGGCTGGATAAGTGGGAACTTTATAGTTTAATGTTATTACATTTGTATCACAGAAAACACCAATTCCAAAAAGAACGCATAAATGATTGTTATACTTTCCAAACTCTCCATAGTTTGTCACTTATGATCCCCTTCTTTCAAGCTCTCTGAGGTTCCTCCTTCTCTCCCAAGATGAAACAGCCTTCTCAAACCTTGGCCACATTGTTATAAACACCTGAGGAACTTTCAAAGCATACTGAGGATTCTGAGCTAAACCAAGAATCTACCAGTCAACCCAAACAATCAATTCATTCTAAAATACCGGCAATCTCATGTAACTCTATATTTAAATGAGAATGCCATTAAACATCTGCTCAGGTGTTTAATTAGAACTAAATTCCTCAGCACATTCTCTCTCTATGTCTCTCTCTCTCTCTCTCTCTCTCTCTCTCTCTCTCTCACACACACACACACACCCATATCACTCACTACTCAACAGCCAAGGGATCTCTGTAAAAATACTAATCAAATGATGTTACTCCTCTGCTTAGAACCAATCAGTGGCTTTTCAGTGCACTCAGAGTAAATCCAAAGGTCAAATATTAGATAAAGTCAGGCACTCGACCCACTAAAGAGTGTGGAAATTCTTCTTCAGTTTAATCATATTATACATTAAATAACAAGTTTTTTCCCAGAATCTCTAAAATATAACTATATTTTAGACCTGTATTGCCAGCTACTGGGGAGGCTGAGGCAGAAAGATCCCTAGAAGTCAGAGTTTGAGGCCAGCCTGGACAACGGTAAGATCTCGTCTCTAAAAATTAAATTAAACTAAAATTTAAAAATTATTTTTACAAATGTTAAGTGATAATTACATAAATATGCCTACCAAGTTTGAAACCAGTTTCATTTTCCTTCTTCCTCTCACCGTTTATCAAAATTCAGTATGAGAAACATACTTTACAACATATTTCACAAAAAGATATTTTACTAATTTATGTGTGATTAATTACAAAAATAGCTCTCATATGCAAGTCTTCAGACAGGATGTTGAGACATTCACTGCCTTTAATCAGCCCACAGCTCAGATGTGAGCAGCTGAAGATGTGAGCGCCTGTAAATAAGGCCCACTGCGCCTGCAATGAGGTCAGAAATCAGTTACCAATATCTGGTATATCCTTCCTGAACATCATGTCTATACAAGCAAGAGAGTTTTGTGCTTGTTTCTGTTGGTTTTACACAATAGTAGCATACTGTAGTAAACTAAATAACGTTTTTCACTCAAATATTTAGAAGACTGTTGTATTTAAGGTATAAGTAGATCTACCTTACTCTTCTAAAGACTGAATAATATTTTCTTATAGAGAATACAGTTTGCTCAGTCCCCTATTAATAAACATCTAGGCTGTTTGTGGTCATTTGCTACTACAAACAATGTTGCAGTAAGTATCCTTGTGCGTATGCATATATGAAGAATGAATTCCTTGAAGAGGGTAGGTACATTTTAAAATTTTATGTAGTGCCTATTTTTCCTCCAAATAAAGTGTACCCTTTTACAACAATCCCACTTATAATGCAGAAGTCTTAAAGGACAGGGACTAGATTGCTAATTTCTCTTGTACAGTTTTCAGTACATCACAACTATGTAGAATTTAGAGCCTTCTGATTAGAATATGAATGATGCATTACAGAAAAGGAGTGTTATGTTGATAATTCACAGCACCATGCTGAGATCACCACTGTTCTAATAAATATCCAAGATATTCAGGTTAATTTTCCTAGTGCTCACATATTTGAAGTCAGTCGATTTTTAGAGCAAGACAGAGTGGCTTGTCTAGTAAATAGTACTAGGGATGGCTCTGAATAAACATCTCTTCTAATCTTTCAATTTAATTTCTCTTTTATAAAATTCAACAACATCATTTATTTTTCTCTTTGATACCCTAAAGAATACATTAGATCCCATAGTGACACTTAGGCTAATTCCCATAAACCATTTTTTATCATCTCAACAAAGTCATCCATCATTACCCTTTATTTTAACACCTTTATTGGTCAATCCAACTATGATCAAAGTTGATTATTTCTAAGCTGAATTCAGTAATCTTAAGGCTGAAGGGTGATTGGGGGAGATTTATAAACTCAAAACAGGGGCACTAGGAGTGGTTAAAATAATAGATACCTGTATAGTCTGACACTAAAGATATGTAAATTTATTCAAAATTAGAAGCAAATTAACATTTATTTGTGTCAACAAATAATGCTCCATCCCTTCTAGGTTAAGTGACTTAGTCTGACTGCACGGCTAATCAAATGGCAAAACTGGGATTCAGTAACGGTCCATTATCTTGAAGAAGTTACTTAACATTACTGAGTCTCAGCTTCCTCACCTATAAAATGGGAATAATACCTACTTTACTAATGAACTTCATGGTAAGAACTTCACTGATAGCAAGTAGTTCTTTTTGCTCCACCTCTAGGTAGCAAACAGTCATTCACATCAGTAGCTCCTCTGGAAGTCTAAGTCCAATACTAGAGATCAGGTATTCAATAAGTACTTACTAATTGATAGTTCCAGTCAACTTCAGGCTGAGAACTCCTACATCAGGATAATAACGATGATGATTAATATTAACTAGCATTTACTGCGGGTTTTGTGCTCTTAAGTATTTTACAAGCACTCTCATTTAATCCTCATAACTCTATGATATACATCCTATTATTAATTTTATGGATGACAAATCTGAAGCTTAAAGTACTTATGTAATTTGTCCAAGATCAAAAAAGTGGTAAATTAAGGAGCCAAATTTTAAATTTAGGATTGAAACCTCTATAGCCCATTCTCTTACCTACTGTCCAGCATTACTCAATGCTTTATCTTCTATCCAATTATTTCTAACAATTTTCTTCCTTATCACCTCATTTTAATAGATTCACTCATGAAACAAGGCAAGACTAATTTATACTAAGAGAATTATTAAAAGGCACATTTTAAAAACAGTCTTCAAACTACCTAATTCCACTTACTCTCCTCACACTTATTCTAATTTGGATGAATACTTAGCAAATACTCTGCCAGTAAGGAAAATTAAAACTCTACCCTACAGCAATTTTCCCCTAAATGTAGCCACACATTTGGCTTGCAAAAAGGCCTGCAAAAAATGTTTGAAGTTGTCAATATAAAATGTGTTCTAGAAATAAGAAGACTAAAAGCTAAAGGCTAAAAGTTGAGTACTGAAAAGATAATCTTGAGTAAAGAAAGACAGCAGTCTGAACAAACACATCTACTTACATTTCTGCCTATAATCCCTTTCAAATCACTAATGTTATTGGCAGATGGTGTTGCTATTATGATTACTGTTAGGAGTGTAAGAAATCCTTAACATGGCTAAAAAAAAAAAAAAAAAAAAAAAAAAAAGCATACTATAAGCAGCTCAGAAATTGAGGAATTCCGCTAAAAAGTTGATGAGACACAATGGCAGAGGAAGTCTGAGAAAACCTATCCCAGAAATGTCCAGAAGAGGTCACTATGAAGATAAGAGTGATTTCGCTGAGCTCCAAACCCAGAGTCTGGATGACAGGAGGGGACGCTGGGGGACTCTCCAGAGGATCACATGGGAACTTGTGAAATCTTTAAGCAAG